CGTAGTACTTCTGTGTTTCTTATTTATTACCACAGGTATTGCACAGCCTTTGCCCCAGGTCCTCATCTGCCCCTGTTCTGGGAAGACTTTGTGTCAAGTCTTGAGCCAAGAAAGAAAGAAAAAAAATCATTCTTTCTATTGAATTCCAGAAATAGCAACACACGCTGAGAGGAAATTAGCCCCTGTTGTCCCATTTGCATTCTCTGGCCATCCCTCCTGTCCAGCTGGGCATTCCACCTGTGAAAGGAATTCGTCTCTCCATTCCCTCAGGTTCCAGAATGTATTTGGAACCCAAGCCACCTTGCAAATATTTTTGTAGACTAGAATGCAACTTCATACAACATATGCTCACCTGCCAGCTACTTTATTTTGCAGTGGTCATAGCTTAGTATTCCCTAGGATTGCTTTCAGGGCCTCAGATAGAGTAATCGAAGAGCAGCCAAATAGTCAAAGGTTTATTTTTGTTGGGTAGAAGGGGGAGAGTGGAGTTACTGGGATTTGAACTCAGAACCTCAAGCCTGCTAGGATGGTAGCATACTGCTGCCTTGCCTCTAGCTCTGGTTTTTAGGATAGGATTGCTCTTCCTTCCCAGGAGTGTAGTTGAGCCAAATTCAGCCTTCCTCTGTTGGACTTTTATGCCAGGGCTGGCTTGAAGTGTGATCCTCTCAATCTCAGCCTACCACATAGTGTGGTATGACAATCACTATGTTTCTGTATGGATTGGGAAGGGGTCTCTCAAACCTTTCTATCCAGGTGAGCCCTGAACTGTAATCCTCTCTCATCCTCCAACTTAGTTGAGGGTGTTAGCTACCATCTAGCTATATTGGCATTTTTTTTTGACCAAGGCAAGGTTTCTGATATCTGAAGATATTTCTAAAATATTTACCTTTGGGAAATTGTTTTCATAATAAGTTATGCAAATATATTTCGTCAGTTTTAGATGTCTTTAGTTTTTAATTAAGACCATTGCCTGTAGAATCACAATCACTAAGTGGAAGAACATTTTGTTAGATAATTAATCCTATTTTGTATGAATTTTCTGATTCCCCTATTTTAACATAAGGGAAGCAAATAAAGAGCTGACTGTAGCCAGTTACTTTTCTCAGAGGAAAAACATCTACAAAGCACTCTCAGTATTTTCTTTCTTCTTGCCAGTTTATTCTGATAGGCATCAATATACTTAACTGGGTAGCTAGTTTGTCTTTATTGTTGAACACTTTTTTCTTTTTCAACCAAAGTAGTTTTTTCTGGTCATTTAGGTCTTACATTGATTGGCTGTTATTCCTCCCCCCCCCCCCCCCGCAAAGGGCGTGGCCAGACTGCATATTTTCAGTCCCTCAGGTTTTTTTAGATTTGTTCAGGAGAGCAGATCTGTCAGGCCGCTGGCCAATCTGAGCACGCCATGTGATGTTATGAGGGGAGTATCTGCCCTGGAGCCTGGGGATGTGAATTAGGAAGAAGGTTCGGGACTAAGCCAGCTGTCATGCCATTGGAATGAAGGTACTTTCACAACCCTGAGTCCGTTCTATAGCTAAGAGCTAATGTTTGCTAAGAAGGAAAAAATGTGAAACCAACCCAAGAAGAAATTTGTGTTTACAGAGGGGGATATTTTAATGAGTTTAGACCTTGCAGTTATTCAAATAGCCTGAACCTGACACTTCTTTTTGGAGCAAATATGAAAACCATTATTTATGGAAAATTTAGGTTTCACATGACACATCATCTTCATATGTGTGTGGTTTGGGGATTGGGCTCTCCCCCCTGTATTTGCTTTGCTTGTATAGTTTTATTTTTACCTTCCTTTGCTTTGTTTTCAGGGTAGGGGCTTTGTTTTGGGAGAAGGAAAGATGAATCTCTGAGCTGAGCCCCACTTTCTTCTTTCTTGATATTTTTAAACAGATGGCTTCTCAGTTCATTGAGCATTTTTTGTATTTATTCAAAAAAAAAGGTCCCACCTCTAGAGGGGGCCTGTGTCTGCAAAACAGCGTGTGCCTTCTCTGGATGAAGCTTTCTTTAGAGCCTGGTATCCTGCATTTACCCATGAGCTAGACTCCTTTGCAGGAAAATGGTTCTTTCCTTCCTTCCCTTCCTTCCTTCCTTCCCTTCCTCCCCTTCCTCTCCTTCCTTCCCTTCCTTCCTTTCCTCCCCTTCCTCCCCTTCCTTCCCTCCCTTCCTCTTCCCTCCCTCTCTTCCCTCCCTCTCTTCCCTTCCTCTCTTCCCTCCCTCTCTCCTTCCCTCCCTCCCTCCCTCCCTCCTTTCCTTCCTTCCTTCCTTCCTTTCTTTCTTCCTTCCTTCCTTCCTTCCTTCCTTCCTTCCTTCCTTCCTTCCTTCCTTCCTTCCTTCCTTCCTTTTCCTCTTTATTTCTGTCTTGCTTTCTTTTTCTCTCCTCTCTCCCTCCCTCCCTTCCTCTTGCTTTCTTGCTTTCCTTCCTTCCTTCTAAGAGTTTTAATTCCACATGTCATTGTGTAAGTACAATGCATCTTGATCAGTGTCACCCCTTCCATCATTCTCCCCACCTCTCCTAACTCCACCCATTCCTTCAGGTTGCAGTTCCATTTTCATATACACACATTGAATATCATGACTTTTTTCCCACTCACTTGAAGGTAGGTGTCATATCCATTTAGCCAGCCAGCTGCCAACAAATTTGAAGCAGAGAGAAGAATGGTCTTGCTCTGTTTGCTTACTCCATAGCAGCTTCAATGTGAGGAGAAAGAAATGTAAAGTTGGTTTCCAAGATTGGCCTGTGAACTTAGGAAGACTCGCTTCACTCCAAAGCGATCCATTCCGTTCTGTGGGGAAGCCCTGTGACCTTGCACTGGTGCCTTTCATTTCTGTCCCCAAGCTAGGATAGCTCTTGTTCAGATGGCACAGGCCAAGTTCTTCGACAGAGAGGAAGCTGTCCTAAAGCAAATCTCCACTACACTAGTTCCTCTCGAGTTTCTTCATTACTTTGGGAGGGGATTCGCTGTTCTTCCTTTTTTACTCTTTTTTTTGCCCACTGTGTGTAGGGGAAGGGGAAGGAGAGAGACACAGAAACAGAGAGAGTGTATGCTCACAAGCAGAAGGACTATGGCTACTCTGATAGAACCGCCATCCATGGAGATGAGCTCTAAAGCTACTTACTTCACCAAAGGATGATCATTGATTGACTGTGTGTAGTGATGGGAGGTCAGAGACTCAGTTCACTCATAATTAAGGTAGTAGAGTTGTGAATGTTGACATTTTCATTCCAGATGCTTAGTTTTCATGTGAGAACTTTTTATGTTACTTACTGTAACTTTCTCTTTAGGTCAGTTAAACAGATTTTATTTCACTCTTGGTTGTACAAATTATATTCCTGGGATTTATTTCCTTTTTTACTCTCTTAGCTTACAGAGAGGACCCAAATGGAAAAGCATTAAGTAAATACAGCATAAATGCAATTCTTTCCCCTCTTGTCCAGTTTTTGTAATTAGATCCATGATAAAAAGGCAGAACTCCTGTCTAATGCCCAGTATGTCCTGATCCAGCAGCATGGGAGACGGTGACCGCCCATCCTTCAGCCCCTCCTCCCACACCTGCCCTTCATATCGCTGATCTTTTCAGAATCATGTGTTTATTTTACAAGTCAAGTAAGAAGAGACTCATGACCCACTTTTGCTTAGTCTCCCTTTAAAAATAAATGCATTCTCCCCAGAGCTTTTTGGTCCATGCACTTGGTAATTTTTTTCCAAAGTTAATAAAAAATAAAACCAATGCAAACCTATTTTAGGGACATAGAAGCTCTCCTCCTTCTTCTCAGTGACAGTCACCAGAATTAGCCAGTGTTTGCTCTCTTGCTCCCCCCCCCCTTTCACACACATACATACACCTTGTCCTTTATAACTTCCAGATGTGTGCTAATTCATTAGGATACAGTCAGCATTTCTACTTGCTTTGAGACCGTTTATTAGACTTGTAGCCCTGGGGAAATCACATCTGCTAGGAGTCTTATTTTCCTCCTTCATTCTTCAGTCAACAAGACCCCTACAAGCATTACCCGGTGGAAAACAGACCTCAGCCCTCACCTCTGCTGGAGAAAGGGGCAGAGCAAGGAGTGGGGGTTCCTTGACCAGCATACACCTGGGTGCTCAGAACGTGTCCGCTCTTGTTATTGTCATCAAAGGCAGAGGGACAAGGAAAACCTTGATCTCTTCTTGGAAGTGGTTTTATCCTACCATCTTTCACTTGTATTTCTGACTCTTGTCAGGACCCCATTCTGCTTGAATTGGGGCATAGCAAAGCATGGGCACTCTCCTGTCATCTGGACTTGGAGGCAGGGTGGTAGGGGAAGCTTCTGGTTTTCTGAAACAAAGCATGCTCCTTAACTCTTGATTCTTTCAGACACTATATTGAGTATGTAATCTTGTGGATTCATACTTGGAGAGCTTTTTAATTTAAAAAAAAAAAATGCTGGTATTGGAGTTTGAACTCAGGGCCTAGGTGATTTCCTTCAGCTTTTCTACTCAAGGATGGTGTTCTACTACTTGAGCCATACCTTCACTTCTGGCTTTTTGCTGATTAATGGGTGGTAAGAGTCTCATGGACTTTCCTGTCTGGGCTGGCTTTGAACCTCAGTCCCCAGATCTCAGCCTATTGAGTAGCTAAAGTTACAGGCATGAGAACCTGGCAGAAACTCTTCTCTTTAACAACTGAACCAGGTTAAAGCGTAGAATGGTGCCAATTCCAAGTGCTTATTATTATTAATATTATTATTATTTTTGTCGGTCATGGGGCTAGGCTTGAACTCTGGGCCTAGGTGCTGTCCCTCAGCTCTTCAGATCAAAGCCGGCATTCTACCACTTGAGCCACAGTGCCACTTACATTATCAGGATTTTGATGCCAAAAATTTCTGGTGAAAGGTAACTGACTTGGTGACAGCCTTAGGCAAGGCCATGGGGAAAGGAAGGCAACAACAACCTTACTTCTTTCTAATGGTATTATTTTTCCTGTTTTGTTTTTCCTTTGTTGCAATGCAGAATATGAGTTGGAAGTAAAGAAGGTTCAAGACATTCTTTCCGGGATAGAGAAACCACAGGTATGTCTTCTGGATTTTTCAGCACAAAAGATGCTTTATTTCAAGTGTGAGTGAGTGTGTGTGTGTGTAAGTAAGCACAGTAAGTAAGCAAAAGGACCATTTCCCATTGAGGATTATTTATAAACTATGAAATTGCCATCAGTTATTAATGGTACATGAAAATATAGAAGAAGGGTATTCTGTGGTGAAATGCTTCCTTTATTTCGGGATCTGGATACAGTTGGATATTCTCTCACCTTCCTAGGATACATTTTTTTAAAAAATTTCTTGAGTCTACAGAGTTTTCCTTTTACCTGAGTAAATGTAGCAATAGTAAATTTATAAAACCTCAAAAATTCCAAGTGTTTTTTTTCCAGGTAAATCCTGGGGGGAGAAAAAGATATATAAATATTAGCCGAGATACACAAGCTCGGGGCATTGAGCTCAGCAACAGGAAAACTGCTGTTATGAGTATTGATACTGTTTGGTTTTCAGTTGGATTTTGCCAGGTGCTTTGAAATTCAAGTGAAAATTCCAGAATGTTGATTCCACCTTTCTTCTGAGATGTACAGAGCCAGCATTCTCTGGAATGTTCTCTAGCTGAGTTGGAGACCTTGATTCTTCATGTGTTTTGAATACTGAGGCTTTCTAAGGAGAGTTCAGCCATGCCTCAGGGTGCATAGTTGAGTTTGACTAAACCTAATAGCAGGAGTGTGTTGGTGGGGGGGAAGGAAGGGGAGAGAAAGTGTGTTTGTGAAGGAATGAGACCTTGTAGAGTTGAAGATTCTGAGCTTCCTTTGGGAAAGAATGGGCTCCCACTGAGGACTCTGAACAGAGGTGTTCAGTAATCAGGGCCACATTTTTAGAATGCTCAGAATGCAGATGGGTTGGAGCAAGAAATACTATTAGTAATCTCCTCCTGTGGTTCTCACAAAGAGTCAGAATTTGGATGACTTAAGGAGGGGCAAGTATTAGACCCACCATAGAGATGATTCTGGAAGGTGTAAGAGATACTGTATGTCATGGCTTCCAGTTTCAATTGTGTCCTGTAAACACCCCCCCCCAATTATTATCCACATCCTCATAGAACAAAGTGCCTCTGGTACTGAAGCCACATGCACACTGGGCTCTGACTTTATTCATCTCTGCCATGGTCTCCAGTGTATTACATCTGTCTTTTCCAGTTATCTGTAGCCCTCTAAGTGAAGTTCATCTCTAGGTGTTTCTTGTTTTGTGCTAGGTCTTAGGCCTAAGCACTGTCCATAAGATTTTGTGCTCAAGACATAGCATTCTACCAGTAGATACACAATTTCTGGCTTTTTGCTGGTTAATTCAAGTTCAGAGTCTCAGACCTTCCTGTCCCGGCTGGCTTTGAACCTAGATCCTCAGATCTGTTCCTCTGGAGTAGCTAGGATTACTGGCGTGAGCCACCGGTGCCTGGCCTTCTAGTTCCCTTTTGTGGTTTCCTTAGTCATATTGAGCTTGTTTCCTAAGAACCGTGGGCAGCTGCAGTGGACAGGAGGACCACAGATACAGGAATGACTACTCGTAGACGGCCAGGCTGGAAGGCAGTATGAAAGGGCTTCGGAGCAGAATCATTGAGAAAGCTCATCATATGTAGCACAGCAAGAAGAAGAATACTCCATAATGAAAATAGAGGAAGCAAAGTCAGAGAAGGAAAGCAGACAACATCATCCCAGAGGTCCTTCCTCACAGAGCTTTCTTGCCCTGTCTCGGGGCTGTGCACACAGTGCATACAGTGCACACAGGCAGGTGTTCCCGCTCGCTTCTTTACTGTACAAGTGGCGCAACCTCCATTCTGAGATACTAGTAAGATAAAAGCAATATTTCATTGCATTGGTCCTGTTTCTTCACTCAGCATCATCTTGAGAGCAGGGCAGATAGATAGACTTTATAGCTCTGGTGGAAGGTAAAATATGGTAGGATTGTCATCTGAGCATTTTCATCTGTAACACCTAGAAACTAGGATTGTTTGGCCAAAGAAAGAGATAGATGCTGGTGGTACCCAGGCCAGCCTAACCCAACAGCAATGTCCTCATCGTGAAGAGTTGGCTGGTCAGAGCTCAGTGGAAATCTTTAGTCTCAGTGTCATATAGCTAACCATCAGCATTCTCATTCAGTGCCTACCCAGTAGCCTTTTGAGAAGTTGACTTCCCTGGGAAACCAAGGGAAAAGTCCATGCGGTCTGTTGATAGTACTGTCTCACCTCTCCGAGCATTTTGTTTCTCATTGTGAAGGAATTAATTGGGGATCTGATTTTATGTATCAGATTCTATGAGTCTTATCTTCACTGCCAGTGTATTTTCACATACCTGAATCGGATTGACCATGACACAGCAACTGGGCGAAGGCTATACTTGGTGGGTTACTCTGGTAAATGCCTCAGAACAGCAGCCTGTGCTGGGGACTAGCCAGCTTACATGGACAAAACACTGACCCTATTCACTGCCCTGTCCCAAATTTCCAAAATGGCTCAGGAGATTAGAAGTAGAAGCAAAAGATACCATTTCCATATGAGCATGGTTTAGTCAGTAGAAATAATACTATGCCAAGGATCTTCTTTTTAATTTTATTTTTAAAATTAAGTAGTTATATATAGGGGTTATGACTGAACACATGTTCGTGAGTACAATGCATCTTGGTCAATGTCACCCCTTCCATCAGTCTCCCCCATCTTTCCCAACCCCACCATCCCATTAATTTACCTTGTTCCATTTTCTCATATGTACATTGAATATTAGGACTACTAAGGGTATTCGTTAATCTTGTTGCATAAGCAACATGTTACCTAGGATTGCGGGAGACAAGCTGAAAAACTTGTAGATGAGGAGAGACAAGCTCTACGATCCAGTGCTCTTTTTGCCAGTCCTGGTGCTTGAAATCAGGGCCTGGGCACTGTCCCTGAGCCTCTCTGTACTCAAGGCTAGCACTCTACCACTTGAACCACAGTGCCACTTCTGGCCTTTTCTGTTTATGTGGTATTGAGAAATCAAACCCAGGGCTTCATACATGCAAGGCAAGCACTCTACCACTAACTCACATTCCCAGCCTTCTAACGCTCTTTTTAACAGAGTGTTGGGCTTGCATCTTACCTTTTTGTTGTTGTTGTTGATTGTGGGGCCTGAACTCTGGGCCTGGGTGCGGTCCCTCAGCTCAAGGCTAGCACTCTACTACCTGAGCCACAGTACCACTTCCGGCTGTTTCTGCTTATGTGGTGCTGAGGAATCAAACCCAGGGCCTCCTGAATGCAAGGCAAGCACTCTACCACTGAGCTACCTTTCCAGTCCTGCATCGTACCTTTTAATCACTCTCATATAAATGAAGTCACCTGGTTGGAAGTCAGTGCTGGGACCCATTTGCTTCTTAGCTTGTGCTGAGAAACACAAGCTCACTGCCCTTTGGGTCAGGTGGGATGGCAGTGTAGATGTAGCTAAGATACCTTCTGAAGGCAGTCACAACCATGAAGGATTTATGAGTGTTGTGCTAATTTATGCTTTCTACTTTTGCACATAATTAACACAACTTTGCTCCTTGCCCAACTATGTTAGTTTCCTATTGTTGCTAGAACAAATAGCTGCAAATCAAATGGCTTAAAAGCAATTTAAATTGCTGGGTAACAGTTGCTCACACTTGGAATCTCAGCTACTCAGAAGGCTGAGATCTAAGAATCGCAGTTCAAAACCAGCCAAGCCAGAGAGTCTCTGACACTCTTATCTCCAGTTAACCAGTAAAAAGCTGGAAATAGAACTGTGGCTCAAGTGATAGTGTGCCAGCCTTGAGTGAAAAAGCTAAAGGACAGTGCTCAAGCCCCAGCATTGGCACCAAACAACAACAATCAAAATTATGTTACAGTTCTGGAAGGTATGAAGTCCAAAATGGGTCTTGCTTGAGCTAGCATGAAGGGATGAGCAAGGCTCTTTTACTTTCTGAAGTCTTTTCCATTTCCTAAGGATATCATACATTCAGCAGCCTATGGCCCCTTCTGCCTTAAACTTATCATTCTTACCCCTCACTCCACTTCAGTTGACCTGTCTGTCCCTCTAACTCCTACCTCCCTCCTATGCACATAAGGATTTTTGTGATCACTGTGGATCTGCGTAGGTAGTGCAGGATAATCTCCCCATCACAAGATCCTTGCTCTAAGCGTATCTGCAGAGTCCTTATTACTTGCAGGGTAATACATAGACTCACAGCTTCCTGGGCAAAGGGGATGGACATCTCTGGAGCAGAAGATGCCCTGAATACTTTCATACTTTATCTGTCATTCATGCTTATCTTACTTCTGCATTCCTTGTAAACCTCCTCTGCCTGGGCATCTCTTTTTTTCCTCTTCCCTTCCTCTTTCCCTGTCTCCTACTCCATCTTCATAAAGTTCTTAGTCATGACTGTGTCTTACTTATCTTTGAGATCCTACTGCCTAACACTGTCTTGGCCCATAGTGAAGCCCTATCAGATGTTGCCTAATAAACATGTGGCAGACTTCAGTATCTGTGGCTGGCTTTGGCAGGTGGGACAAATGCCTGAAGGCTAGCAGGCATCAAGACCTCCTGCTCAGCCAGCACAGAGGAATGCTAGCACCAGAGTGCCAGGCCACCACAGGGAGGGGAAGGGCCTGTGTTCACAATTGGCCAATCAGGCCTTAGACATGATCACAGCTATTAACTATCTCCCCATGCTTCAGATTTCTCATCTTTGAAGAGTAGGAAAATAAATATTGCATGGAAGGATCTGAGAAGTTTGAGAAGTAGATTCTGTATTCCGTGGAATACTTACACCATTTCCTTAAGCAAATGTGTGACACCCTGTCACACTGTGGAATTCTGGGAAACACATCACTCTGCAGAAGACAACAGACACACGTTGTAAAATGGGTCATTAGTTTTCTGATCTTTTTTTTTTTCTTTCAGGCACATCTGGTTCCCTCTCTAAATAAAAGACTTGTCCTTTTCTTTGAGGTTTTGCAGGTGACTTGTGGATTCTAGTCATCTTTATGGGACAATGTGGGCACCTTGAATCAAGCAAGTCAATTCAATCCTGTTTTTACAATTCAATTCTCTGAATAACTGAGTCAAGATTGACTTAATTGTTCAGAGCCCTAGACACTGTAAATACACAGATGGGTAGCCAATTGCACTAAAACAGTATATGCCACACTGGCCCTTTGTCCTGGACTGTAGCTTTCCCAGGGTATCCACTGAATGCTGTAGCAGAAGAATCAGTTCAGATTTATCAGCATGAACATCACTTTCAGCCTCCTGTAGTCTGACCTCCTCGCGCCATATCACTGAAGGTGGCCTCTCTCATCCTGGTGGGCTGTTGATTTCGAAGATATAAATAAACATAACCTGGAGTAGAGGACCTGCATTCTCATGCACTCATGTTTAGCTTGCAGAAACAATTTGTTTGTTGGTTCCAGAGTATGATCTGAGAAGGAATACTTTCCCCCAAGAAGCAGTTTCGTGAAAGATAAACAGCAGCATTGGCCCTGGGAACCGATCCAAGGCTCTCAGCACATGAGGAGTGTAGAAGCAGACGATTCAGAAATTTTTAGATTTGAGTATGCCTTTTTATTTGACCTGTTCCTTTCTCATTTATTTTCCTTTGTGATGTGATTCCTTGTGGTGGATGACTTCAGATTTGAAGACCCCTATCTCTAGGGTGACACTTCCTTAACTTCTCTGTGATCAGATCCAGGGGCCCCCTAATGTGGCTGAACCCAAAGGCCAAATAATCCAGAAAGTGCTAACGTGTCAAGCAGTAGTTCAAAAGGGGTAACAGTGATGCCGGGCGCCGGTGGCTCACGCCTGTAATCCTAGCTACTCAGGAGGCTGAGATCTGAGGATCACAGTTCAAAGCCAGCCTAGGCAGAAAAGTCTGTGAAACTCTTGAGCTGTAGCTCAAGTGGTAGAGCGCTAGCTTTGAGCTGAAGAGCTGAGGGACAGCGCTCAGGCCCAGAGTTCAAGCCTCATGGCTGATGAAAAAAAAGGGGGCTGGGGTAAACAGTAACAAGTTACTATCTATGAAGAGAAAAAAAATGTTTCTGATCCCAATAGTGCATATCATTTCTCTATGAAAAATGGTGAGCATAAAAATCATGATTTCCTACAGAATAGTACTAAATAGTATGATGAACAGAAGAGACTGGGGAAAGAGAGAGGCAAGGACTACATACTGAGTCTGAGAATGCAGATTTATCACTTAATACACACATATTTGTGATCTGCTTTTAATAGTCGCATAGACAAACCTAATTTCTAATTAGCATGTGATCAGAAGTAGAGACCAATTTTATAAATGCCTCCAGTTACTTAAAAGCAGTTTAAATACCTCCTTTATACATTTACACTGGTCACCTCCCATAGATGCACTTGTATCATAATACAAAAACAAGTGTCAGTGTGTCGAAGCCACACTGGATCTGGAAGTCATCACTGTTACAAAGGATATTGACTTCATGTTATGCCATACTAGCAAGTCAGTCTTGTGGCTGCTAACCTTTCTTTGGGAGGTCGGGGGAGTCAGCAGCCAGGATGGTTGAGATTGCCTGCTTTGCTTCAGTGCTCACAGATGCTGAGAAAGTTTAGGCATAGAGTGCTGTGTGATGTCAGGCTCAGGTGATGGTGCTGCTCTGAGCAGTTTGAGCCTGTCTTCTGAATCTCAGAGTACACTTCCCAGGATACTGGAGTAAATAGACTGGGCACTGAGCCTTCTCCCCCAGCTGATGTTCTCTGGAAAGACTCTGTAATGTCAGCCTTCAAGTAGAAGTGAGCCACATCCTAAGGATGCCAGGGATAGACGTAGGGAAGCTCAAGGCTGGGAGTCATGGAAGGGTGAGTGGGAGGTGGGGGAGAAGCCTGAGCAGGGGCTCTGGAAGCATGATGCCTAGTTTGAGTGATGTTCATAAACCACTGTCCTTCAAAAATGCTGCAGAGTCCCCAGAGAGCCCCAGAGAAAAGGTAGATATTGTCATCGCTGATGCTCCAGCTGTTAGGTGCCTGTGTTCACAGAAAGAATAAGCAAAGGTTCTCTGTTGGGGGACAGGGGAGAGGAAATCCAACCAGGCACCTGTGGCTCATACCTATAATCCTACTCAAGAGGCTGAGATCTGAGAATTGTGGTTTGAAAAACCAGCCAGGGTAGGAAAGTCCACGAGACTCTTATCTCCAATTAACCACCTAAAAGCTGGAAGGGGAGGTATGGCTCAAGTGGTAAAGCACCTGCCTTGAGAGAAAATGCGAAGGGATAGAACTCAGGCCCTGAGTTCATGCCCCAGTATTGGCACCATTAACAACAATAGTAATAGCAGGAACTGGTGAAAAAAGCCAAGCTTGAAGGGCGGTGACTTATGGATCTGTGTTTGGTATCTAGAGCACTAGCACATGGCTGAGCTGTTTTGTGACATAATGCTGTTTTCTACCATAATTCATGAAATCAATGCTGATACATTCATTCTTGGTTGTTGGAATCCTGAAAAGCAGCCATTTGTTACCCGGTGAATGTCTTCCCAATATCCCATCAGCCTCTTTTTTAAAATTTCAAACAGAACTCTTCAAAGCACAACATCTTCTTAAGTTGAAAATCAAGCATAACACTAAGTACCTCAGGCTTACTGATTCATGTATTAAAGAATTAAGCAAATACACTGACAAACATAAGGAGTTCTATGTGCAAACGATAATACAAATAATAATTCTGTCTTCAAACATGTCATGCTCTGTGCAATGAAAGCAAGCATCAGATATTAGTCCTGGGAAAATGTGGCCAGAACACAAAGCAAATCTCTATCATTTCTGATTGGGGATCTGGAAGGTCAATTCAGACACTTCATGAGCCTGGAGCTTTGGAGGTCTCTAGGCTCAGAAGCAGGCAACTGAGGCAGGAACTGGGGGAAGGACAGGCAGGTCGGCTATGGAGCAGACTACTACAGGACGCTGCCACAACTCCCCAAGCAGTGGGAGGCTGACTGAGTGATGGAACATGCCTCAGACCAGAGCTGAGAGTGGTCCAAAAGTCAACCTATGTAGGCTGGGCTCTCATGGCTCATGCCTGTAATCCTAGCTACTCAAGAGGGTATGATGTGCAGATCATAGTTCAAAGGCAGCATGGGCAAAAACCTCGGTGAGACTATCGCCTATAAACTACTCAAAAAAAGCCGGAAGTGGTCCAATGGCTGCAGTGCTTAGAGCACTCACCTTGAGCACAAAAAGCCTAGTGTCCAGGCCCAGAGTTCAAGTCCCAGAACTGGCACAAAAAAAAAATTAAAAACCATATATATATATATATATATATATATATATATATATATACATATACATCTATATATATATATATCATATATCAAAAAGTCTCAGGATAATTTGTTCGAGGGAAGTCTTAGGTGAAGGCTAAAACTAAAAGAATAAAAGTAGAGCTTAGAGCCCCATGCCTGTGGCTCATGCTGCTTAGGAGGCTGAGATCTGAAGATGATGGTTTGATGTCAGCCCAGGCAGTAAAGTCTGTGAGACTTGTTTCTCTAGTCACACACACAAAAAACCAGAGTGAGGTTGTGGCTGAGGTGGTAGAGTACTAACCATGAGCAAAAGGAGCACCCAGCCCCAAGTTCAAGCCCCAGGACTGGCACAAAAAGAAAAATTAGAGCTTAGAGAGATGAGATCTCTACTTCCACACTTATTTCTGTCTTCTCATGTGCTGTTCCTGGGTTCCAGTTTCCCATATATGAGCTCTTCTGGGAGTCTGACCAAGGGAACATGGTTTGATTGATGTTAGCATCAAAGGATTATTGGACACTGAGTAAGGCTTGAAGAGGAAGAGCCTGTAGACAAGGCTCCTTCCACAGAATTCAGTGGCTAACCTGAAACGATTGAATTTCATACTCAGCATTTTACCTTGACAGCAATTCTCAGGCATGGCTGGTTATTGTTACTTTCTGAAAGGACTAAGTGAATTCTACTGGACTTGAGTGAACCTTTGCATTCTAATGCCACACATTTCAGGGACCATGTTTTGCACACCAACACTTAGACAAAAGCACACCATATAGAATTTCTTTCTTAATTACAGTTGCTTGTCAGAAATTCACTTGGCCATTTTACACCATTAGTAATGATTACAAACACCTTCTCCATCGAAGAAGGAAGTGTGTGATCATCCATGTAAGATAATTTGACTTCTTCTAAAGCCATGTTTTTCTACCCTCAGGTGTCGAACATCCAGGCGAGAGCGGTGGTGCTGTCTTGGGCTCCTCCTGTAGGACTTTCCTGTGCTCCCCACAGCGGCCTTTCCTTCCCCTACAGTTATGAAGTTGCCTTATCAGACAAAGGACGAGATGGAAAATACAAGATCATTTACAGGTAGTGCCTCCTCTCAAGTGTTTTTCTTAGCTGCTAAGCTGCAACATTAGAATCATTGAAGAAAAATATGAAGCAAAGGAAAAAAAGTTTCAGGCTTTGCAATTTTTCATTTAAATAGTTCTTTTTAAGAATGAATAATTATGGACACTAGAGGCTCACACCTGCAATCCCAGCTACTCTGGAGGCTAAGATCTGAGGATCCCAGTTCAAAACCCTCCCGGGCAGGAAAGTCTGGGAGATTCCTTATCTCCAATTGGAGATATGGCTCAAATGGTAGAGCACCAGACTTGAGCAAAAAGGCTAAGCAAGCTTATGAGTCTAAGTTCAAACCCCAATAGTAGTGTGCACCCACATGGGCGCATGTGCGCACATACACACACACACACACACACACACACACACACGGAATGAATAATTATAATGTCAAGAATTTGTCTAATCATTAATCAAATTAGTAGTATAGAGTTACTTCTTATTGCTAAAATAAATCATTTAGCTTTCTTAGATGTCAGCATCATATTAATGAAATTAATTTTCAAACAAATTTTCCAATAATGTCCATCAGGGTAAAAAAATGACTGACTTTTATATACATTAAGCACCTCTACGATCATTTAACTCTTTAGCACTGATCTTTCGTATAGTTTTCATTTTAAAAATTCTGCAATACTTTTTTTGCTTCTATTTCAACTTCTCCTTACACTGTTTCTTCTAAGAGATACTTTAAAGCAGTTTGTTCAAAGGCTTTCTTAAGTGATCAGAAGTTTCGCCTGTAGAAGAAGGGGGAGCAGCCTTTCGGTTTTATGGACTCCCACATGTAAGCTGTCCAAATGATTTATACCTGTGTTGTTAACAGGGTAAAAATGTGAAGGTCAAGTCCTTCTTTTGGGATGGCTCCAGAAGGTTGCTATTTGCAGATCAGGAAATCAGGCTTCTTTAATACTAGTTGGCCCTCCCAGTGGGGCCTCTAGAAAGATGCCCACACCAAGTACCTGGCTTGCATGAGCCGGTCTGTCTCCACCACAGGTGTTAGCTTTAGTCCCGCCTCGAGGCCACATCACTACACTGTCTCCTCCTCTCTGCCCAGTGGAGAGCATGCTCTGGACCCAGAGAAGAGGAACGGTGAGGAAGGAACTGCCCTTGGCCACTACCCACTCTGCAATGATGTCTCCTCCAGAATACCCACACACCACCCCTTGGCCTTCCTTCCGGCCTCTGCTGTAGATCTCCACAGTCTACCCTCCATGCTGAAGCGGACCCCACCCCTGAGAGAATCTGTCATCCAGAAATTGTCCACTGTGATGCAAATAAAAGCCTCACTACTCTCCCTCACAGCCATGTTTTATTTTGAAAAATCAGAATTAGATACACAGTCTAATTAGAATTTCACACTCAGGAAACATTGCACAGATAGAATGATAAAGACACAAACCTACATTGTACCCATAGTTACGGTTGCTAAGATTTTACTATGTCTACTTTACCATTTGAACACCTGCCTTTTTCCTTTTTTTTCTCTCTCCTCTGTCATTTTATAAAAATGCTGCTGAATATTTTGGTATATTTTCTCAGAAAAGTATTTTCTTAAAAAACTAAATGTACATTGGTATTATACTTTAATCTATGATCCATTTTTCAGTTTTCTTGGCTGACATGCAGAATGACTATTAGAAAATTGTGAAAGCATTTTGTTTAGGACAGCATTCAGTCTGGTCACAGATGGCATCTAGCTGTCTTTTTAACTTTGTTTTATTTGGATCATGTCCACAGTGTTTGTTTGTCTTTTGACATTTTGACAGAATACAAAATAAATTATGTCTGTGTGCACCCTCTTTACCTTTTGAGGGAAAGTTTGGGGTTTTTTTGTTTTGTTTTGTTTTGTTTTCCCAGAGAGTCTTGCTATGTAACCCAAGAAGGCCTCAAACTCATGATCCTTTTATTTCAGCCTCTTTGCTGTGATTATAAGCATGCATCACCATGCTCAGCTTCCTTTTTGCATTAATTTTCACATACTTAAGTGTCAGTTTGGTTGTTTCTTTCGATTACGTAAATGGTTTCATTATCTTTGGTGAATTGGTGTGTGAGAGAAGTAGTCTGTGACTTCATCAACAGTCCGTTGCTGAGGGAGTTTAAGTCCAGATGATTTGGAACCTTGGAGTCTTGGAACTAACTAATTGAGAATTGGTGTAGCTATTTACATACATATTTATTTGCCTGCTTACCCGCTTTTGTCTTTAGAAAAGTGGCAAGATGCTTTGGTGTTTTATTAGTATGTTGGCCATGTCATTTTCCATATCTAGCATGCATCATTAAAAGCAACCTCATTTTCAAGTCCTAAGAGAATAATAAGAGCAAATAAGAAAGTTCATTCCTGGTTTATGGTGGAGACGCATTAGCTCTGGCATCCCAAAGCCCGATTTACTTTCCATGCAGGTGTTACTAATTAACAAATGTTTCTCTTTGCAGTGGAGAAGAATTGGGATGCAACCTGAAAGATCTCAGACCAGCGACTGATTATCACGTGAGGTGAGTCAGGACCCAGCAGCTAACTGTACTGGGGAACCAGGTCACTGGGGTCAGCCATGCCACCCCTTTGAAAGCCTGGTGTGGAAGCCAACCACTGTTGGCTTAAGTTGTAATCCTAGCTACTCAGGAGGCTGAGATCTGAGGATCACGGTTCAAAGCCAGGCTGGGCAAAAAAGTTCATAAGAAAAGCCAGACGTGGAGCTGTGCTTCAAGTAGGGGGAATGCTAGCCTTGAGTGAAAAAGCTCAGAGACAGTGCTCAGGCCCTGAGTTCAAGCACTAGTACCAGCACACAAAATAAAGGGCAAGAAAACAGAGCCATGTTAAGGTTGTAATATCTTATTAACTGCATGAGTACTTTAAAACTAAGTTTAGAGCAGTGTACAAAAGAGCAGATTATTTTATATCATTGTAAACAGCACATCTACTCAGCCATTATACTATTTAGATGAACATTTTTGCAACTGTTTCTTCCTGTTTACATCAAAACCTTCAGGTTTTGAGTCATTTAGCTTCCTCAAACATAATGAACTTCACACAGGCTGCACAATGTCGTATAAACTGTGATGCTAAGATAATAATAGAAATAGTTTAACCATTCTTATGCAGTCAATGGAACAGCAAACCAGAGAATGGAACCTCATAGAAGGAATCCTACAAACATTATCCGTTATTCATGGCTAACATACGTTTTCTTTTATCTTTTATGTTTTAACAGTTTATTGTTACTGCCTTATTCAAGGTTTATTCTATTAATTTCCTGTCCATTCATGAGCTTCCAGTATCCTTTTTAAGAAGTTGAAATGCCATGAAATCCAGCCCCATATTTACTATCTTGTCTCCTCTCCCTTTACTCCTTCCTGTCTGACTCCTTGCAAAGAGTAAATTTTTAGAACACTATCAGTTGACTGTCATGCTTTTCCTGCCATGTGCTGTGAACACTTGGCCTTGCAGGCAGATAAGAGGCCTGGGGACATGGGGTGGTTACTGAGCAGGGGCTGGATGTGGGCATTCTCCTGCTTCATTTGGGCATGCATGCAATGTCACAGGCATGCAGCCCAACAGATAGTATGTGGCGTAGCTCTCTGCTTGACAGAGAAATTGAAAATTCTCCCTCTGCTTGGTAACATCTAATTTACTGTTTTTTCAAACAAATTCTCTCGCTTGACAGAAATGTCTACAACCTAAATTTTCTTGTATTTCCCCTGCCTAAAGCCCAATCTATATGGATAATTTTGCTTTTCATTTTACACTTTATTTTTCCTTCTGGAAGAGAAAAAGTTTTAATATTTGTAACTCACTCAAGTTAATTGGTTAGGTGAGGCCATTGACAAGTATGGATACACCATAAAGCTTGTATGTTAGCACTTGTTCCTTGCTAAGGGTACCAGCTTATACAAACCATTAACACTGCTTTGTCCTTGTTTTCATTTGTAAAAGTGAAGAGAATAAGCCAGGCACTGGCAGCTCACACCTGTAATCCTAGCTGCTCAAGAGGCTGAGATCTGAGGATCAAGATTCCAAACAGGAAAGTCCATGAGACTCTCTGTCTACAAGTGACCAGTAAAAAGCTAGAAGTGGAGTTGTGGCTCAAGTGGTAGAGGGCTACCCTTGAGCAAAATAACCCTGAGTTCAAGTCCCAGGACTGGCACAAAAGAAAAAATTTAATATGATAATAAAGCTAGCATCAGAAATGCAGGTCAAATATACATGCAAACTTGTTATAAATCTGTGAGATATTTACAAACAGAAATTTCTTTTATTTTTTTTCTTGAAGTTGTTATAGTTTTTGAACAATTTAGAAGTAAAAAGAGCTTCATGATGTAGGGTTGCGTCTTTGAACTTGTTTACCATCCACTCTTCTATTGGGATGTGTCTTACTTGACACTAAGAGAAGCAAAATTCTTGATGATGATGATGATGATGTAGTTAAGATTTTCTAAGTCTTAATCCTAGGAATGCAAGTTTTTAATCACATAAAGGAGCCTCAACTTATCTTAAAGTTGAAGAAATACCTATAAGGCCTCAAAGGGCTGTGTGCAAATACCTCGGTTTCACCCCCACCCAGCTGTTCAATGAGCAGATGTTGTACACTTCTGGTTTCTTCGTATTCCTAGTTTTAGAAAGCATCACCCGGTACCAAGCTCACAGAAGTATGAAAGAAAACTGAGGTGTCTTTAATGTCACTAAATAGACCACATTTTCCTTCTAATACTTTTTTTGAGGGACCAGGACCTAAACTCGGGATCTTGAAACTCTAGCATGGCTTTCCTGCTCACAGCGGTTGCTCCACCATCTGAGCCATGCTTCCAGCCCAGCTTTTTACTGATAAATTGGAGTTGGAGTCTTAATGGAGTATTGTAGACTTTTTTGCCCCTGCTAACCTCCAGCCATGATCTTCCAGATCTCAGTCTCCTGAGTAGCTAGGATTATAGGCTGGAGACACCAAAGTCTAGCTTTTCTGATCCTTACAATTGTACATTTTGATTATGACCTACAGTAATATTAAATGATGGCTGAAGTCTCAGGGCTTCTGCAGTTACATTTGTTATTTCTGTTTTTTCCTACTCTGATTGTTGTATCCTCTTCAAAGATTATCCTGCATCTTCATAATAGTGCTTCTCCTCATTTTCACCCCATCCCCAGACACACACACACACATGTTACTCTGCTAACATGATCAGATGGATAGGTTTTATCTTTAAATGGCAGAGTGATTCCATTGTGGAATCTGGCCATTGCTTGGATCAGTTGCTTGGCAAGAAAGGCTCTGATTTCTTTGTTCCTCTGGGTTTAGTGAAGCCTGAACGCATTGCAGGGGGTTTATGGCTGGCTGGTGTTGTGGGCATCTGCCAGGCCATTTGAGCCAGTCTACCTGCAAAATTACATCTTGAAACACTTCAAGTCTTCTTAGTGTTACTCTGCTAGTTTTGTGTGCCAGTGTTAATGAATCTACTCAACTCTGTTCTAGCAAGGAAGGAAATTAGATCCTTCTCTAATATATACATTGATTGAATAATTTAGGTCTTGGGTCTTGGTGTAGCATTTTATTACAGCTGTCACTTTTTTACTTATTAAATGGTTCTTACAGAGATTGCTTTTTTTGGTTTAAAATTGATACTATGTTTAAAGAGAATCAACTTATAATTGTCAAAGTGTAGTTAGTGATTCTATAAAGGGTATTGTGCTATGTGTTATATAAAATGATTAACTCAAAAATCCAGTATTACTGGGGTTTTAACTCGGTGAGCCATGTCCCAGCTATGTTTTTAGTTACTTCACAGAGTCTTAACACTTTTTGCCTGGGCTGGCCAGGAACATGATCCTCCTACCGTCACCTCCAACATATTGGTTGGGATCGCAGGCATGTACCACTACACCTGGCTTGTTAATTTAGATGGGTTCTTGCTAACTTTTTTTTTTTTTTGGCCTGGGCTGGCCTTGAACCATGATCCTGCCTCCTGCACAGTGGAGATGATAGTCTTGAGATACCACACCCAATAAACATTCCTATTTTTATCAATCATGGGATAATTAGGAATTAAGTGATGGAATGGATAGCAGTTTTCCAGCTGTCAGCATAGGCAGTTTGTCAAAGAAGTTGCCCGGAGATGACATCATGTAATGACATTTCCCAGAAAAGTTATGTGATGAAATATTTCCAAAAGTATGGCGGGCCAGCATAGTGCTGGGCTATGCAGTGGGTGTTGCTGACCAGAGACTGTGGCTCCTTGGCTATTAGAGATATGTGGGGGAAAGCTAGAAGTGTACTTTTGAAATTCCCAGAGGCTAGTCCATGAGATTCTTACCCTACTTAACACCAAAAAGCTGGAAGTTAAGGTGTGGCTCAAGTGATAGAGTGCCAGCTTGGAGCAAAAAAGCTAATATGCAAGAGCATAAGGTTCTGCGTTTAAGCACAGTGCTGGTATACAGACAGACAGACACCCACCTCCCCCCCCACACACACACTCACACTCATACACACAAATTATAATTATAATGTATTGTTAGGAAAACATTTGATTTTCTAGTGGTAAAAGGAAAAGAAATTCAACTGCTTGTTGATTTGTTCAACCCAAGAAATTGACCGTCTACCGATCTTCCTGCTACAGAGGGTGTCTAGGGACAAATATCACCATCATGTGGGAAATGCGGGACTTTAAAATATGGCATCATTTCCCAAGAATTGATCTTTGCTTGTGCAAATTCCTGGTGGGATTGTGGCTGGTTACTGTTACAAATAGTTGCTATCTACTTACGACAGTATTTTAATTAACAGGAAATCATGGTACACTCAGATCTTGTGTGAAATTGTACTCTACACAACACACTTGCTTTCCCAAATAAATATAAATCTTGCTTTCTTTGCTGATGAACTTTGTGTGTGTATGAGTGTGTGTGAGTGTGTGTGTGTGTGTATGTCTATCTGTCTGTCCTTTAGCAAGCCAAGCTTCTACTCTGCCACTGAACTACATATCCAGCCACCCATAACCTTTTCAAGGTTAAGCACTACTCCACGTGTTCCATAAGTCACTCAGGATGGCCCTTCCTCCAGCCCGGGCACAGAGTACCTCTGTCAATTGTGCTTTCCTTCTAATTCCAGCAATCCTATTCTTTTTTGGTTGTGGGCCTGAACTCTGGGTCTGGGTGCTGTCCCTGAGCTCTTTAGCTCAAGGTTAGTGCTCTACCACTTGAGCCACAGCGCCACTTCAGCTTTTTCTGCTTATTTGGTACTGAGAAATCGAACCCAGGGCCTCATGCATGCAAGGCAGGCACTCTACCACTGAGCCACCTTCCCAGCTAGCAATCCTCTTCTAAAAGCAGCAGAAAACTTGACTGGGTCCAGACTGCTTTCTCCTCAGACAATTAACCTTTTCTGATTGTACCTTGCCAGCTGTTTTCTCTATCCTGTGATCTATATAGATTTCTGGGGACTGTCAATTTTGTAAAGATCATGGACACAGCCTAGTTGTGTACATTTCTGCTATTGTAGGGAATTGCCCAGGGATTGCAAACTGGGATTGCCTGCTTCCTGGAGGCACCAAGCCTACATGGCTGAAACAGGAGTGGGAACGGCTCAAATGGAGTCCTGGTACTGGGTGACAATGGGGAGTGGTAGGTTCTGGGTGAAGTGTAGCTTCTGCCCCATGCAGGGGAATTGCTGCAGTCTGCCTTCTCCATTCCCCACAGTATGGGGAAAAGAGCCAAATCTCATTGAACTTTCTGTTCTTAAGAGAAGCCAGCAGTAGTGGTTGTTCTTTTCTTAAATGAAATCCCAAGATGTAGACTTAAGTTTTACTTTGTAACTGAAGAAAATTTGAGATGTAGTCACAAATGGATAGCAGTTGAATAAGCTCTCACACAGAGAGTTCAATACTTGTGTTAGCTCTGGGCCCCACACCCGCCCCGGCACTGATGATGTTGACGTCCAGATGTTCTATTTTCTAACCTGTCAACTGAGTTACCACCAGCACAGGCGCACCCAGAACAAACAACAGATCAACTCCTCCATGTCCTCAGAACTGAGAGGTGCTTCCCCTTCCCTTCTGTCGTTCTCAAATGGAAGTTTTGCTTTGGCTTTTTCTGTGATGGGAATGGAGATATACTGTCTGGATGGTAATTATTTAAGCCACCATTCTCTGTGTTTTTGAGTGCATAGGTTTCCCTTCATCGCTCATTGTTTTTGTTCTGTAGAAATTTCCACACATCAGCTTGGCCGGGTTCTCAACCACATTGCTTAACATATTCCCCTGCGCTCTGATTCCCAGGGAATCTGCCTTAATCCAAGCCAGATTCAGTTTTCCTGGCAGGACATTTCATCCATAGTGGCAAGATCTCTTCTCTTTTATTTATTTTCTTCTTAGAGTCAAGGTCTTGCTATGGAGCCCAGACTAGCCTTGGGTTTGCACCCTCCTGGCTTCCTCTCCTGAGTGCTAGGATTATAGATGTCAGCCGGTTGCTCTTGTTAGGAATGTTAGAGACTGGTGGTCTCTTTTTGTTGGTTTCTGTATCCTCTACTTCCTAGTTGGGCTGTAATATTTAAAGACACCTCCACTCCAATACACTCATAGCTTGAGCTCGATGTAATCTGTAAACCACCATTTGAAGAATTATGGTCTGATAAAATTTAGGCTCAGGCTGGGTAGGTAGCTCAGTGGTAGAGTGCTTGTCTTGCTTTCATGAGGCCCTGGCTTTGATTCCTAAGCACCACATAAGCAGAAAAAGCCAGAAGTGGCTCTGTGGCTCAAGTGGTAGAGTGCTATCCTTGAGCTGAAGAGCTCAGGGACAGTGCCCAGGCCCAGAGTTCAAGACCCACGACTGGCCAAAATAAATAATAAATAATAAATTAAAAAATTAAATTTGGGCTGGATCCCTGCCCAAGTCTGAAACATTCTGTGATTCATTTTAAGTAATTGACTCCCACTGAGCCTGTCCTGACACATGGAAATGATCTTGCCAGATCTCCCCTTTGGTTTTATGTTATCATATGCCTAGATTTTACTGAGTACAAAGAAAAGCGTTTCCTCCATGAGCAGCTGGGCAGAGACCAATGTAACAAGAAATGGCATTTGTTTGTGTCAGATGTTATAATGCCTCCCCATAAGGCAAAAGGTGTGTGTGTGTGTGTGTGCGTGTATGTTTGTGTATACATGTGAAAGTGTGTATATTCAATAATAGAAGAGTTTCTCTGTTGTATTTTTTATGCCTATCCTCTATGAATCTTCATTGGAGGGAGTAGAAGAAAATGACTTTGCATATCACACACATAATTAAGATTTCTATCTATCTAATCTATCTGTCTGTCTGTCTACCTGTCTGTCTATCTAGGTGCTGGTACTAGGATTTGAACTTGGGGCCTGGGTGCTGTCCCCTTAGCTTTTTCATTCAAGGATGGTGCTGTGCCACTTGAGCCACACCTCACTTCTGGCTTTTTGTTGGTTAAGTGGAGATAAAAAGTCTTACAGACTTTTCCTGCCCAGGCTAGCTTTGAGCCGCAACAGTCCTCAGATCTTAGTCTGTTGAATAGGTAGGATTATAGGCATGAGCTACCCGTGCTCAGCTGATAATGTTATTTTCTTCACTGCTGTTCAAGCTCATTGAATAGAGGGAGGGGAAGTGGCCATGGACATTTAGAGGAGCATGACTGCAGGATGAGCATGGTGGGTAGGCAGTGTGGCATGGTGGGTAGGCAGTGTGGCATGGTGGCTAGCCATACACACTGAACAGAGTTGATCCAACTTCTATCAGTGTAGCTTTCAGGACATCTCCTTCATCTCTGGGAACTTCCTTCCATCTTCCGTGGGGTAATGACTTGCCTGTGTCATAGAGAGGGTACTTGCAAGAATTGTTTATAAGCTGAGTAGCTTCACCCGGTATGTTTTAATGGTATCAAGCCTTCTTCATACTCATTTGGGAAGAGTGTGCTTTCAATTGAAAAAAAAAATAATTTTCCATATAAAAGAAGTGGAAAGCTAGAAAGTATTGTGAGGAAACTTGTGTTATTTGTGGTTAGAAAAGAGGAGGGTAGTGTATGTCCTGTCTTCACAGCTTCTCTTGAGACTCCACATACATGTGTTCATTATTGAGCTAAGTGCTTTGAAAGTGGAAAACAAGCAGCTTTGTGCAAGATTGCAAATATTCACATGGATAAACTGTGTCTGAACACTGTATTTGTTTTAGGAGAGAGAGACAGACACTCAGCTGTAGCAAACATGTTTATGTGTGAACATCCATTTTTACCATATGAGCAGTGGGTTCTGCTAGATGCTGTGGTGCCTGCCTGTAATCCTAGCTTATCAGGAGGCTGAGATGTGAAGATTGAAGTTCAAAGCCAGCCTTGGCAGAGAGTCTTTATTTCCAGTTAACCAGCAAAAAGCTAGAACTAGAGATATGGCTCAAGAAGTAGAGTGCCAGCCTTGAGAAAAAAGGCTAACCAAGAGCTTGAGGCATTGAGTTCAAGCCCCAAACTGGAATGCACACACGTGCACAGATATACACGCGCGCACACACACACACACATACACACACACACACACACACACACGTACTCATGCACGTTACCTGAAAGATGCATATTCCATGCTTTTTCTTTCTCTCTTTCCAGCCTATGAACTCTGATCATTGAGTCTTAAGCTTTTCTACCAACTTTTAGATCTCCATACAAAGTCAATCAGAGAATACCTTGATGGAATTTAGAACAAAGATTTAGAGACCAATCTGGGGATTAGATTTTCTTTTCTTGTTCTTTTTTCTTTTGTTCTGAGGTTTGAACTCTGGGCCTGGGTGCTGTTCCTGAGCTTTTTTTCTCAAGGCTATTACTCTACCACTTTAGCCACAGGTCTATGTAAGGTTTTTTGGTGGTTTATTGGAGATAAGAGTCTCACAGACTTTCCTGTTTAGGCTTGCTTCAATCCTCAGTCCTCAGTCCTCAGCCTCTTGGTTAGTTAGGATTACAGGTGTGAGCCACTGGCACCTAGCAGATTCATTTGCTTGTTGTAAAACAAGGTTGGGTGAAGCACATTTAAACATGGGCCAGTTGGGATGGTTGCCTCTGTAGTACTTTCCACTGCTAGATCAGAACCAGACCAGCAGGTCAGAGCACAAGTCACAATGCTCCTCCTGCTCACCAAGGATAGCCAGCAGGCGAGGTAAGTACCAGAATCCTGGTCTTGAATCCCAGCTCCCCACACTGACTGACTGTTCTCTTTACAGGGTGTATGCCATGTACAATTCTGTGAAGGGATCGTGTTCGGAGCCAGTTAGCTTCACAACCCACAGCTGTGCCCCAGAGTGCCCTTTCCCGCCCAAGCTGGCACACAGAAGCAAAAGTTCCCTCACCCTGCAGTGGAAGGTGGGTACCCCAGACTGTGGAGAGCCATCTCCCATCAGTGTCCGCTGAGGCCATTTGAAATCACAGCTTCTGTTCTGCTAGAGCACTTGGCATGGTCCATAGTCAGTCACATTGCACAAGCACTTATTATGATATCAGAAGTCGCCATTTCTAGAAGACTTGACCAAGGGATGGGAAGAGGACCTTGGAATTCAGTTTCCATGAGAGATTATAGATCTTCTAAGATTAGAACTAATAAGTGATATAAATATTTAAAAATAACTAAATTCCCATACTTTCTTATAGTTGATTTTATTTCAACAAATGTTTGAGAACTTCAGCATGCTATTTTTATAATGAAAGATGGAGAGAGAAAGTATGTTTATAGTTTCTATGGTTTCTTTCATGAGTGACTCAAAATATTTAATATTAAAGACTTCCCAGTGAGGCTACAGTGGCTCAAGTCTGTAACCCAATTTACTCTAGAGTCTGAGAACTTAAGGATTGTGACTCAGGCAGAAAAATTCAATAGACTTCATTTCTAAAACAAGTAGCAAAAACCACAGGGCTGGGCTAGCTGTGTGCTGGTGGCTCACACCTATAATCCTAGCTACTCAGGAGGCTGAGATCTAAGGATTGAGGTTTGAAGCTAGCACAGGCAGGAAAGTCTATGAGACTCTTCTTTCCACTTAACCACTCAAAAAAATGGAAGTGGAATTGTGGCTCAAAGTGATAGAGCCCTAGCTTGAAGCAGAAAAGTTCAGGGATATTGCCTAGGCCCATGACTAAATAAAAAAACAGGACTGAATGCATGGCTCAAGTGGTAGCACCGTCCAAGCCAGCAAGCCTTGCAAATATAAAGCCCTGCATTTAAAAAGTACTTCCACAAGAAGAAGAAGAAGAAGAAGAAGACTTCTTCCCAGAATATATAGGATTCTAAATTATATTTAGGCATTATTAGTTTTGGCTAATTAGTCTTTAGATGTTTCAGGATAGTTAAAAGTCTAAATTATATAGTAAATCTTGTAAAATACAATGTACTGGCTAAAATAATAATTTAAAAAAATACTACCAAAGCAGAAATAGTATTGAACCTTCTTTAAAGTGTGTCCTTAGCTATGTTTTTAAGAAACAAGATCACTCTCAACCTCCTTAATAATTTTTATGTTTTGAAATGCAGTTACAGGGCAGATCATAGGTCAGCTGGCGTTGTGTGGTTTGGTAGGGATCTAGTGTGAGAGGTAAGTCGCTGGGAGATGAGCTGAGAGGAGCCCTCAGTTGTGACCACGTGGGCTTCTCTGTGTCCTCGTGGGGGGCCGCCCGTTCCATAGCCAAGAGCCAGCCCTCAGTGTATTGTTGGGACAGAGGCAAAGCGTGGATGGCTTAGAATCTGAACTATTTTATTTTCCTTTCTGGCTGCCAGGGATAATGCAGGTCAGTGATTTCCCACCTTGTCAGAGTTTTCACAAACACCTGGTCATCTTGCTTTATACCTTGATGAATATCCATCTGTTTATTAACACATGTTTACTTATGTAAATGTAAGGAAAGAATTTAAAAAACATACTGATAGTGAAAAAATATATAAGCTCTTAAGCTTACCAGAGGGATCCCGGGGTCTTTCCAACCTAAAGTTGGGAATCACTGATACATATTTTCTCTGCTTAATATCATACCTCGGTAAAATTTAGGTCTCAGGCAGACAGAGCAATATGAGAAAAGTTCAGTTGAGAATCAGAAATACATTCTTAGCTTATTCATTCTTACCCAAGCATCAAAGTCCTGGATTTTCTGATCATAGTGCTTCAAGTAGAAGGCAGAGGACAGGAGACATTCTCTGTCTATGACCTGTCCCCACTTCCATAAACTCACTGAGAGAACTAAAGATCTGCTGGCATCTACCAGAGCCTGTTACGGTAGAGCCAGCAGACTTGGCTGAGTGAGAGTCCATCTGAGGAACGCAATGCCCACGGGGCAGGATAGCACTGAAGAGTCTACTCCTTGAGTAGATTCAACAAACCATCAAAGAACTTCTTACAAATGGGTTCTTGTCACTTATTGAGAACTTTAAATGCATTCTAGCCTGTCTTCCAGGCCCCAAAAGCCTGAGATGACAGTTTTATAATCCCCTGGGCTCAGAGTTTTAAGACTCAGGTTTTGTGACACAGAAGGAGAAAGAGAGGAGGTAGGAGGGCTTTAAATATGACACTTAATCTGCTTGGTTAACAGTAGTAAACAGTGACTGTTTACTGAGAATTTCTCATAAAACTGGATAGTTTCATAGTGATTTACATACATTTGCCCAGTTATTTATCACAGCTATCTATGACAGAATAAGAAGTCAGACATGGATATTAAACAGCCAATTCCAGGATGCCCTTGACAGGCAGGTAGCCGGGTCCAGAGTCAGATGCAACAGCAGGGTGGGACCTTTTCCACAATTCTCCAGACTCTTGTTATTTTCCAAAGGAAGAGCCAGGCCCAGGCTGTGAAATCAGAGCTGGAGTCTCCTTTTCACCGTTCCAGCTTTCCTTCTGAGCGTTTGTGCCCCACCTTGGGGCCCTTCTTACTAGTCCAATTCTGCAAAGCATCCTTTTCTCCAAAGTTCTCTTGTTTGGTTTTCTCAATAAAATAGATGTCAAGAGAGGAAAGGAACTGATGGAGCTTCTTTCTGCTAACTTAAGGAGCAAACAGCCTCTGTCAGTCTATCCAAAGGGTCCCTTCTCCTTAGACACCACACACAACTTTCTAATCTTAACAACCCCATCTTACAAGCACACAGACTTGCTTGTGTCTCCTAAACCCCAGCAATGCTTGTGTTTCTCAGTATCTTGTTTTATCACTTGAATTCAATGGGATGAAATCTTCAACGTTTTGTCCACTGAGGAAGTAGGACCACAGGGGCCTCTGGGCGGAGGTTGTGGGAGGAGGCGGTGTGGCCATTTGTGGCATGGCTTACTGGTTGTGAATTCTGTCTTGGGGCTAAGCTGCACTCAAGCTGGTGTGGGGTGCTTGCCTAGAGGCACCAGGGACTGCCGGGGGTCTCTCCGAGAGAGCACGCGGCTGTCATAAGCCCCGTGTTGAAGTCATGTTGGTAGCTCGTAACTTGTTTTTGAACAGCTTTCTCCAATGTCATTTTGTTATTTTTTTAGGCTCCAATTGACAATGGTTCAAAAATCACCAACTACCTTTTAGAATGGGATGAGGTAAGCATATTTTCACATTCATCCATCGAAAACACCATTTCAAAGATAAATTGCTGAGCAAATAGCATCATATATGCTTTTAGAAGACATGTTAATTGGGGTGAGGTGGGGGGGATCTTAAGCGGAGACAAATTTAATAGTTACTGACCTAGAAAGGAAAACAAATTGTTGAACAATGAATTGCACATTAAAACCTATTTCCCTGGTTTATTTTTGAGCTGAGCTGTGGAAGATCGGGCATTATCTATGTTGACTCAGTGTATCATCAGGCATAAATTTGTATTAAAAATGGACAGCTTTGTCAGTTTGACCACTTGATGGGTTTTGTTGTTGTTGGCTCTTTGATTTTGTCTTTATGATTTGTCCCATAAACATGTTCGTTTATGTAAACAGTGCGTCTTGATGCTTTGTGGTGTTGATGAGGTGAAGCACTGGGTTTGGGAAATGTGTCTTGCACTCCCTTTGTAGAAAATGACACCTACCTGTTGTTTGCTGTAGATCTGGTGAGCACTCGCATGGGAGAAAGGCAGAAAGTGCTCCCACCCCCACCCCAGGCCTAGGGCCTGAGCCTTGCTCGGTTTGACCTTCCTCTCACAGGTGCCAAGGCTCCAGAATCATGTCTACCACGGAGGCTCCCTGCCAGCTAGTGGCCCAGGTGCCGCCATCACAGGCAGCAAACGCCTGGGCAGAGGAAGCCCTTGGTCTCTAAAAAGCAACTGTGCTCTTTTGTTCCTAGAGATCTAAATTCCATTCATTCATTCCCCCCTGCTTTTATTCTGTCTTCTTCTGTGGTGGATCAAATAGTAAAAGGATTTTAAGAACAGAAAATGTGGAGTTAGAGAAGAAATCCAAGTGTTTGTAACTTAACTGGGGGTGAAGGGATTGAAAAATCCAAAGTATAAGTTTAAACAAAAAGTGACAACTGTTACAGAAAAATATTCCAACAGAATGCAAGAGGAATATAAATATACATATGTACATACATTCATACATTTGTACACACACACAGAAGCAAATTGACTGAAGTTCAGTATATGCCCGAGAGATGTGTAACCAATGATGTATAACCTTTTTGAACAACTAACTTATGTTTAACAGAATGAATACCAGGATGCTGAAATGTGTTTGTCAGGGAGAGGTCATGGGGAGAAGGTGCAAAATAATGGCTAGAGAAGACAGGTGGGCGGATGCAGGTGTAATACTCAATGTACACCTGTAAAAATGGAACGAGGTAACTTGAGGGCATGGGTGGAGCTAGGAGAGATGGAGAGAATGGTAGAAGGGATGACACTGATCATGTTGCATTGTACCCATAAAAAATGATATGTGGAATCAAACCCCTCTGTACAACTACTTTAAGATTAAAAACAGAACAAGAGGAAGAAGAAATTAAAGAAAAAAAAACGGATGCAATTCTCAGGATGGAATTTTGATGCAGGATGTTGTTTTCTGTGAAAGCTTCCCCCAACCCCCTTTGCTGGCTGCATCAAAGCAGCTTGACTTCCAAGTTCGAAAAGACAGTGATCCATTGTTGTCAGAATGCTTGTGAATAGCTCATATGTACAGATTGGCCAAATCTCAGACTTATCTGGGACACTCTACCTGCAAGGTGGATTTCATTTGTAAAGGCTTTGGTTAGAAAAATGAAGGCTCCTCTGTAGCCCTCTTAGATGGTTACAGACAGTCGAGAAGGCTGGATGGGAGCTGTCTTATGTCTCCCCTTCCCCCTCCCCCAGGAGAAGAGTGGAAGCTCAGTGCCACCCTGCTTCTATGTGTTGACCTGATATGTTTGTTTTCCCTTATGTCTTGATGTTTTCTAGATAAACTTTACTAACAAGAGGAGTGTGTGTGTGTGTGTGGTCTGTCTGTCTGTCTGTCTGTCTCTTGTGGATTTTGCTGCTTCTCTGCTTGGAACTGTGATCAACTAAGTTCAGGAGGTCAGCGTGTGTGCGTGTGTGTGTGTGTGTGTGTGTGTGTGTGTGCGCACGCGCATGTGTGTACGTACACACAAGTGCACATATGCACACACACTGTGGCTTGGACTCAGGACCCGCACTGTCCCTCTGTCCCTTATATTTTTGCTGAAGGCTAATGCTGTACTATTTGAGCCACAGCTCCACTTGTGGCTTTTGGGTGACTTATTGAAGATAAGCATCTCACACCTGTGAACCATTAATCCTCAGATCTCAGCCTCGTGAGTAGCTAGAATTACAGGTATGAGCCACCAGTGCATGGCTATTCGGTAGTATATTTGCTTTATAGTCTACTTCTCTTAGTCCATTTAAAAAGACTAAACAATGGTTTTATTGAGTTTCCTGGCATGGAGAATAGATAAAAAGATGACAAGGTCATTTCTGCTCATGATTTTGGAAGTAAAATTTCTGACCAGACAATCTAGCAGTGTGTGAGTCTAAACTTGAACGTAAGCTGGTGGTCAGTAGCCCTCTTGAGGACAAGTTCCTCATGCTGGTCTCTGAGTTCCATAGTCCCACTTTACCCAGGCCATTGGCTGCAAGGAAAGAAACCAAACGTTCAAACAGCACCTGGCCTGCAAGAAGTGTAGCTCCACGAGGCCTGTGCTGGCCCTCTGAAACCTTCTGTTGGTAGATTCTGGTACCAGATGTTGCCCAAGTAGGGTACAGAAAGATTATGAGGTACCTAAGGAGAGTATCACTGCCTGAGATGAACAGGGGTGAGCTCAAAGGAGATCTTACTCAGGAGGAATGAAGTATTGCAGTCTTAGTGAGAGTATATTCTTTTGCTCAATTTATAATCAAAGGAGAAGCCACCTTTACGTCTGCTAAGATCTACAGCGCTGCACTGAGCTAACCTTCTTTGAAAGATCTGTCTTGAGCAGAAGCTTAACCACATGGTGATTTCCTGAGAACCAGGGAAGGCATGGCTTGAGGCTGGAGAACAGTCCTGGTCCTGCCATCATGCATTCAAGTTCATTGTCACAGAATCCACATGCTGTTTCTCCAGATGACTTGATAAGAGTTCACTAGCTACCCATTCTTCATTAATGACTCGATAGTCCCTTAGTGGAGTAAATGACGATGGAAAAACTGCAACTTTCAGGTGTCCCCGGTTTCTCAGCTGGTCTCAGTTTTAATTTTCACCGGCCATGAGTTGTTTGGGGTAACCTGAAATGGTAGCTGGCCAAGGATCCACACTGGAATGACTATGATAAGTCTTAAGGTTCAGGGCTTTCCTTGGTGATTGAGAATGGGCTGTGCACTGTTGCAGCCCTCTGGCCTCTGATTCCTCCCATACGTGGCTCCATTTCAAGCAGAAATGACCGCACACTTGCTAGGCAGGGGCTCTTGCTTGAGCCATGCTCCCAGTCCCAGAGGGTTTAGTTTTAACCCTTTCTACTTGGTTACTCTGTGTGTGTGTGTGTGTGTGTGTGTGTGTGTGTGTGTGTGTGTGTATTGGTTCTGTGGTTTGAATGTAAGGCTTCTCGCACTTGTTTACTTTCTCAAAGCTGTACCACTTGAGTCACACCTCCACTTCCTGCTTTTTGGTAGTTAATTGGAGATAAGAGTCTCATAGACTTTTCTGCCCAAGCTAGCTTCAAACTTTGATCCTCGGATCTCAGTCTTTTGAGGTGGTAGGGTTGTAGGCACAGCTGATTATCGGTTGTTGATTGTTGATCTTCCTGACTCCACCTCCATGTTTATTTTAATCTGTTAGTAATCAAAATGGCAGAAGGTTATTTCTGCTATATTTCAGCATTGTGCCTATTACCTATCAGTTACCTCCTAACTGGGCCCTGGGCCCTCTTGGCAGCCTTTCTAGCTCACTTGCCCTTATGCCACTTCTAGCTGGACTTCTTGACACATGTTGGAATCTAGTGGAACAAGAGATTTGGAGGACCCAGACACCACTAAGGTAGGGAGGAACTTTAGGAAAATAGTGGACAGCCATTGCATGGGATCTCGTAATTGTCTGCTCCATCTGTGTTGAGGTTCCCAAATAGATGAAAAACAATTTTTTTGAAAACTTGGGGAAGGGGAACATATTTCATGGTCACATAGGAACTTGCCTTTCCAATTTAGGGGAGGAAAAAGCAAGTTGTGTAAGGGGAGCATGTTTGGAGTCTGAGCGTCAAAGTTTTACTCTAAAATACTGCTTTCATTAATTGTGCTAGGCAAATGTGGCAGTGTGGTCGCCGGTCACTCAGAGCAAAACCTGAGTCTCCTAAGATGGCCCCGTGAGTGTGTGCCATGGATTCGTGGTGATGTTGTTTAATTGGTGATGCGGTGTTGACCCACAGAGGCCCGGATTAGTGTTTGTGTGGTCTGTGTGTTCTCTCACTGGTTATAGGGACCTCAAACAAGCAACTGGGCCTCTGAGCCTCAGTCTCTCCACTTGCAACAGCATGCTGGTATGTCAGGGCTGCTCAGATTACCTGGGCACATAGCAGATGCACTGTTTTGTTCAAGTGCGCTTCAGTAGATGTTAAGATGTGAGGTAGGACAGCAGTTAAGACTGTTTGAAGAGAATGTGATAGAAGGAATTTAAGCCGGAGCCCTGGGGCCTACGTTGCTGGTTTGAACTGAACAGAAACTGATTACTAGTGCAGTCCATAGATGTAAATATGTCATTGGCACAACTTCCTGCCATGACATGTAAGGAACATATGGAAGATCCAGGAAAAAGAAAAATCACCTTGTGAGAATAAGATGGGTAAAGTTCCTCTGGATCTCTGTGACTCAGCTGGCCCAGAAAGGAAGTTCACATCCACATCTGATTTCCTGGTGACTAAAGAGCCAACACAGCTGTGAAACTAAGAACAATCTAACCATAGAAACGAAGGCAAACACAGCATGAAGTCATGACATAAAAGGCCAGCGGCAGGTAGAGCCTCAGCAGGCCAGGCCTGGCCATAGCTGGCAGTTCTACTGTAAAAAACTTCCTGGAACCATTGCCAGCCCCACAGGGAAGCTTCTTGAACATCTGATTCTAGAGAGTCTAGGCGAGCTCATGGAAAGACTAAG